TGATGAAGCCACTTGACCTGCAGGCGTAACGCGTAGGGGAGGGGCTTGACAACATGACACACGAGGTTTAGTGAGATGCGGTAACTATCAGCTGGCTGTTTAGTGATAGTTATTCATTTATAGGAGCTCCACATATCCATATTGTTTTTGAAAAGCTTCAGCGGATGTGGAAAGAAGAACCCTTGTCCATTGTCACAGGGAGATGGGGGTTCAGGGGGAGAGGGGGCAGGAGCTGGAACATGTTACGTTTTCATCCCTAAATACAAAGGTGAATTTATGCTTTAAGCAAAAATTATTTTACAGTAGTTTAGATGTGCTTTGAATTTTTAGATACCTTGAATGCCCATTAATGCACCTATTCGCACTAAGATGTGTTAATTACATGTTCAGTACGCAGTTAAGACATTTTGAGTCACATTAAATAACATTTTCCAGCTAGGGGTGTACATGTGCCATGGCCACAATGGTTTGCTTTGCATTCCTGGCAGGAATTATACCCCCTGTCACTTTCAATATCACCTGCTGATCACAATGCATTCAAGTGAATAGGGCTTTTCTGCAAGTGCTCTGTGCTTATAGCGTGCTAGTGAGGGGTCCAAGGAGTAAAATCAGGCAGTGAGGAGGCAATACAATGATCTGGCCATGGATTGCTTTTCAGAGGAGTCACAGTCCCTTCCGTACATGAGAACAGGCCCTAAGGTTAAGTTTACATTAGCAGCAAAAGCAGGCGTTTCACCTGCTTTTTTGAAGCCTCATAAACACTTGTCAATTCTTTGGGTCAATTATGTGTATAGCAAGGTGCTGGACTACAGAAGCAGTATATTGCTTGTTATCTGTGTTTATTCCTCTTTTTTAATGGTTTTGCACAATTTTTTTTTGCATATATGCCATCTACCAGTGTTTTTTTTTGTAGCGTGTAGGTCTCTTTTTTCTTTCTTTTTTTTTCAACCATTGCAAACATTAGCTTTAAACTACTGTAACAATGGCATCTTGTACTTCACACCAGTGATTCACCAATCATTATAGAGCCCCGATGAAGGGAATATAATAAAACCCCGAAACTCATTAGCTAAATTTGTAGCAATCAAATAAAGCATATTTAAATAACTACTAATAATTCTTTTTCAACCTTACCACAGAGGAACCCTTGAAATAGCTTTCTGGTCTCAGGGAACTCCTGCAAATAAATACTATACCTACAGCTCACATGATGGTTCAGGAGAACAATATTCCTTAAAGCCCATCTCCGGGGCAAAACAAAAAAGTGTTCCTATGCAGTGGGGCTGTGGGGAGAGGATAAAGGAGATATCCTTACCTAATCCTCTGATCCTCTCAGCACAAGACTGGTCCAGCACCCACACACTCCAGTGGTCAAGAGTTGTGGACTGTTCTCCTCACCCTCACAAAACTAGCAGTGCAGGCACTGTCTGACTGCATGGGAAACCTTTTTTTTTGCTTGGAGTTGGGCTTTAAATTTGAGGTCAGTGGGAAGAATCCTCCCTTATAGAAAGCTAAAAAGATCATCAGTTTCAGTGGTTACTTATCTGAAAGCCAGAAATTGCTCATTGCTCAAGAAACCCCTAGCAAGCTTTGAGGAGCTCTAGGGTTCCATGGAACCCTGACTGAGAAGGCGGCTTTAAACCTGGGTTGAGGGTATTTTACTCCTTTGTGTTAAATCCCTGGTGTTCCTGCCAGTCACTCTACTTTCTTTTTTTTTGAAAACTGACTACACTAAGCATGAGAGCACAGCATGTTCAGTTTTCTGGCTGTGCTGAGAATAGCCATCTTAAAGCACCCTTCTCAGCCATGTTTCCATGGAACACTAGAGTTCTTCCAGAGCATGGAGGCCTGCTCTCCTTCAAACTCTGGAAGAACACTATGGAACCCTGGTTTGAGAAGGTTACTTTAAAGCTATGGACAGACACTAGAGGGTGTGGTTTCTGCACCAGAAGATGAGGGTATTTTACTTGGTATGACGAGGTATGGACAGGGGTTAGCAGCACACTGGCTTAGTGGTTAGTACTTCTGTCTTACAACACTAGTGTTCCAACTAGGATACCATCTCCACGGAATTTACACATTTTCTTGTGCTTGCGTGGATTTACTTTGGTTGCTTCCCATGCTCCAAGGACATGCTATTGGGCTAATAGGCCCAATATGCATGTGAGATAGGGACCTTATATGGTAAGCTCCTTGAGGGCAGGAAATTTACATGTTTTACAAAGAAAACATGCTCTACTGTGGATTACCTGAGAGACTGGAAACTAATGCTCTGGCCTAAATGCCTTTGATATTATTATTATACAGGATTTATATAGCGCCAACAATTTGCTCAGCCTTTACAATATAACAGGAGACAATACAGCAACAATACAGTTCAATACAAGAAGGTTAGGTGGGCCCTGCTCCTTGGAGCTTACAATCTAAGAAATGTAGCAATGGGAAGAAACTAGAGTAAACCCACGCAAGCACAGGGAAAACATGTACATTCTGTGATACAATGAAGCCAGCTACTCAGTAATATCCATTGGAACAATTCTTTATTGGCTGTGTAGCAGGATACAGCAGTAATATGTTAACGCGTTTCGGCCGCACGATGCGTAAGGCTTTGGCTGAAATGCGTTAACATGTTACTAGTATATCCTGCTATGTAGCCAATAAAGAATTGTTCCAAAGGATGTTACAGAGTAGCTGGCTTCATTGTATCAGAGAACTTACATGTTTACCCTGTGCTTTTGTGGGTTTACTCTAGTTTCTTCCCATGCCCCAAGGCTATGCTATTAGGTTAATTGGCCCTTTTATATACATGTGAGATAGATATTAAGCTCCTTGAGGGGCAATGTAAATTGTTGGTACTAAATAAAGCTTCTTTATTTTAAAGTCTAATCAGGCACCTATCCCTTAAACCAGACTTTCTCAACCAGGGTGCCCAGGCACCCTGGGGTGCCTTGAGGTTCATTCAGGGGTGCCTTAGAAAAATGTCTAAATATTGCCCAGAATTTGTATACAAGCCAGTGGGTAGAACATGCCCACCTTTTAGTTATACAAAGTCAAAGGTTTTCATTGTGCACCATTATGACCTTCTAGCCGCAGGCGTCCTGACAACCAATGACATCACCAGTTGATATGGAGGATGTTAGCTGACTGCACAGCATACTAGTTTGGCCCTCTCCTGCCCCTCTCCATCAGTGCTGGGGTCTTAGCTAAGTGATGGAGAAAAACTGAGGGAGAAGAGAAACATTGGAATACTAGTCAGTACCAGCGTGCAAAAGTGTATTTGCTTTGGAAGCATAAATCACCTCTAATGTTGGGTGTCCTACATGTGTGAATGTTGCCAGTGGTGTATTTTGGTTTTGTGCTGCCCTAGGCAAGACTAAAATTGGGCACCCCCGCACCTAAATTTGTCCCACCCCTTCCTGTTTAAGATCCACCCCTTCATTTGTAAACTACACCCTTTCCCCTTTAGGCTCCACCTCTTCCTATTAGAGCTCCACCTTTTATTTTATTCTATTATCGGTGTCATTTGGAGGATTAATGCCCCATCATTGCTGTCAGTGGAAGGAATAATGCCCCATCATTGGTGTCAATGGGAGGAATAGTGCCCCATCATTGGTCTCAGTGGGAGGAATAGTGCCCCATCATTACTGTCAGAGTAGGAGGAATAGTGCCCCACCATTGGTGTCAGTTGGAGGAATAGTGCCCCATCATTGGTGTTAGTGGAAGGAATAGTGTCCCATCATTGGTGTCAGTGGGAGGAATAGTGTCCTATCATTGGTGTCAGTGGGAGGAATAGTGACCCATCATTGGTGTCAGTGGGAGGAATAGTGTCCCATCATTGGTGTCAGTGGGAGAAATAGTGCCCCATCATTGGTGTCAGTGACACCAATGATTGGGCACTATTCCTCTCACACTGATGCTAACGATGGGGCACTATTACTCCCACTGACAACAATGATGCTTACATTGCTGACCCCTGCTCCAGCCTGGGCTCCCTCCCTCTCCCATCCACAGCCAGCATACTTGGCTGCAGCAGCACCATCTGCTCTGTCCAGATCCTGGCTGCACGGCACAGACAGTTACCTTACTGATCAGCTGTCTTCCTTCTCTGGCCGCTCTCCTCCTCTTCACCTGCTCCAGCCACACCCTCAGATCAGCTTCCTCAATCCTCGTGCTGCTGCTCGGCTCCTCTTCTCTGCCTGTGTGCTTTCCCTGAGATACAGATCCGGCGGCCAATCACCGGGGAGGCAAAGCTTGCAGAGGGAGGGAGAGGCTGCCATAGGCTGCCCAGTGATCCCGGAGGTGTGGCCAGATGAGAGGGGCGGCATGTCATCCCACCCACATCACGATCCAGGATCATCCACCCGCAAAGTGAAGACACTGGACACTCTCTCTACTCCTCCTTCGTGGACCAGATCAAAGCGCCTTTGTGGACCTGATCGAAATGAGACACGGACACAGGTAAGACACATAACAGCAGCCCCTGTACTAAGTGTCACTTCGATTGAAAAGGGCCGCCCTAGGCAAACGCCTTGTTTGTCTCACATCAAATATGCCCCTGGATGTTGCTGCGTTATATAAAACTATTAGAATAGTTTTTCACATTTAGAATGAGGTGCCTCACAACTGTCCATCATTTTAAAGGGTGCCTCGGGACTGTCCATTATTTTAAAGGGTGCCTTGGGACTGCCATCATTTTAAAGGGTGCCTCGGGACTGTCCATCATTTTTTAAAGGGTGCCTCGGGACTGTCTATCATTTTAAAGGGTGCCTCGGGACTGTCCATTATTTTAAAGGGTGCCTTGGGACTGTCCATCATTTTAAAGGGTGCCTCGGGACTGTCCATCATTTTAAAGGGTGCCTTGGGACTGTCCATCATTTTTAAGGGTGCCTCGGGACTGTCCATAATTTTATAGGGTGTCTCGGGACTCTCCATAATTTTAAAGGGTGCCTTGGGACTGTCCATCATTTTAAAGGGTGCCTTGGGACTGTACTTCATTTTAAAGGGTGCCTCGGGACTGTCCATCATTTTTAAAGGGTGCCTCGGGACTGTCCATCATTTTAAAGGGTGCCTTGGGACTGTCCATCGTTTTAAAGGGTGCCTCGGGACTGTCCATCATTTTAAAGGGTGCCTTGGGACTGTCCATCGTTTTAAAGGGTGCCTCGGGACTCTCCATAATTTTAAAGGGTGCCTTGGGACTGTCCATCATTTTAAAGGGTGCCTCGGGACTGTCCATCATTTTAAAGGGTGCCTTGGGACTGTCCATCATTTTAAAGGGTGCCTTGGGACTGTCCATCATTTTTAAGGGTGCCTCGGGACTGTCCATAAATTTATAGGGTGTCTCGGGACTCTCCATAATTTTAATAAGGGTGCCTTGGGACTGTCCATCATTTTAAAGGTGCCTTGGGACTGTCCATCATTTTAAAGGGTGCCTCGGGACTGTCCATCATTTTAAAGGGTGCCTTGGGACTGTCCATCATTTTAAAGGGTGCCTCAGGACTGTCCATCATTTTAAAGGGTGCCTTGACTGAAAAAAAGGCTGAGAAACATTGCCTCAAACCTCTGAAATATGACAATACAAATATGACCCAGCCTTTAGGTATAAAACATAAGAATCAAAATTTCTTTCTAAATTCTACAAGAATAACTTAAAATGAAGGCTTGCCGAACATCAACAATAGTTTCCGTTTCAACCCTCTTTTTCTGCTTTTGCATGTTATGAGCTGTTTTACAGCACACAGGTCACATCTGGTCTTGATAGTGCCTCCATTGCAGTGGACCTTCTCCCCATGGAAGTGAGAAGAGGTTACATAGTGGCAGGCCGATGACTTTCTTGAACTGTCTGAGTAGGCTTAGCAGATAAGCACATGGGGGCAGCTATTATTCTTGCAGGTATTAGGCGAGACTTAGCAGGCCCTCACAAATACAGCCATTCACTGACAGGATTAAGACCCCCGAGCAGCGCTGGTGGGCAGGGGCCAGGGGCCGAGCTCCGCTCTGTAACTGTAAGCCGCCACACATGTTTTCACTTTTCCTCTGTTCAGCGCAGTCCCCGTGTGGCACTTCGAAGAGAATTATGAAAGTGGCGTGTAATTCAAAGAACTAATGTCTTTTTCTCCGGGCGTAATGAAAACGCTTGTGGCGGATTGTTTTCTATCGAAGGGAAATATCAGATTCTGTTTGCTATGTATTCTCTTTGGACAATGACATCCTATTAACCGCTTCGCTACCATTGGCTTTTTAAAGGAGAACCCCGCTAGGCGCCATCCGCATTGGCTGCTTAACATTACCCCAAAAGGAATGTCGGGGAAACAAAAACCGGCTGCTGTGCAAAAGAAAAAGAAAAAAAGACAAAACAACTTTTACAGAATACTGATATTCTGTAAATGTTCAGCTCTGGGATAAAAAAAAAAAAGAGTAGCTTCCGATTAAAGCGGAGTTATTAACCACTTTCCCTCCAGAGAATTTACCCCCCTTCCTGACCAGGCCATTTTTTGCGTTACAGCGCTGCATTATTTTAGCTGAAAATTGCGCCGTCATGCAACGCTGCACCCAAATGAAATTTACGCCCTTTTTTCCCCACAAATAGGGCTTTCTTTTGGTGGTATTTGATCACCTCTGCGTTTTTATTTTTTGCGCTATAAACAAAAAAACACAAACGTTTTGAGAAAAAAACTTTTTGCTATTAAACATATCCAATAAAAAAAAATGTAAAAAATCAAATTTCGGCATAAATATAGGGCAAAATGTATTCTGCTATGTCTTTGCTAAAAAAAATCCCAAAAGGTGTAAATTAATTGGTTTACATGAAAGTTAGAGCGTTTACAATGGCAGTACACTGTATATATGAGATTTTTGTTTTTTACTAATAATGGCAGCAATCAGCGACCTATAGTGGGACTGCAGAGGAAATTCTGACACTGCGGAGAACTGACTTGATGTTACTGACATCCCCAGTGACACCAATACAGTGATCAGTGCGTATAAAAACGTGAGTTTTTCAGTGTTTTTGTATTAGTGTTTAGCGACATTTTCCTGGGTTTTTTTTACACTTGCATTTTTTTGTGTTTTGACCAAAAAAAAACATTTTTTTTAGTAAAAAAAAAAAACGGCCAAAAACACTGATTTGCTGCGTTTTGATGCATTTTTAATCAGTAGAGCGTTTTTACAGCTAAAAAACTCCTAGATATCCACTAGTCCTGGGGTTTTTTTCCAGCCAAAAAACATCCCTGCCAGAACACGTTGATTACAGTCTATGTGTGCATGGACACATAGGATAACATTCTGGGGAGTTTACTGGCTGTAGAAAAAAAAATGTCAAAAGCCAAAAACACCCGCTGTAAAAATGTCCAGTGTGCATGAGGAAAAGTACTGACACTGTACTAATAGCACTGGGCAGTAATGGGTTAACATCTGGGGCGATCAAAGGGTTAACTGTGTGCTGTGTGTGTTTTACTATGGTGGCTGTGTGTGTGCTTTCCACTGTAAGGACACTGCTTTGTAATGCTCTTCTATGGAGAGTTGTACAATGCAGTGTGCTGGAGCTGACAGGGGAGAGATGTGTGTTGTTCACATACATTTCTCTCCCCCCCCCATCCCCGTCGGTATTACTCGGTGATCACCATGTGCTGGGGAGTAATCACCATCTAGCATCTGGTGATTGACAATCAAGGCCGTTAATGGTGGTGCAGGTAGGGCAGTGCACGTGCATTTGCCTCAGGGGTGGACTGACAACTCATGGGGGCGTGGGCAATAGGGGATCATGGGGCCCCTGTGTCCTTGCCCAAACTCAAAAAAGCCTATGAAAAAGGTACCAGGGGCATCTCATGGGTCCCCTTACTGACCTCGTGCTGTGCCTGAGTTTCCATATGGTTAGTCCGCCCCTGGTTTTAAATCACATGACAAGTTGCACCCTATTGTCCGCAATGGAAACAGGCATGTCAGTGCAATTTCAACTCGCACCGATTTTAAGAGTACTTCATGCACTACTTTTTGCAAGTTCAGGTACAACTTGTATAGACATCTGTGCATGAAGTCGCACAGATGTCTTCCAAGTCGCACCTAAAGTGGGACTGACACCCAACTTTTATGTCGTGTGAATGTAAGTGAAGTCGCATGATTTCAAAGTCAAATCTTGTGTGACCAAAGACTAAAGACTGTGGACTATACTGTGAATGCAATGCATTGTGGGCCTTTCTGGAAATTGAGAAAACAAAATGCAAACCATACAGTACATGCTGGGTCTCTGGGAAAGGGGGGGTGATATTGAGGGGCAGAATAAGTTGTGATTGCCATTGTGATTTCTTTCGCCCTGGAAATGTGCAAATCTATATAAATTATTTAACAATATTGTGGAAAATTCAGAAGAGTAGGTATGTAAAAACACGAGAGTCAAATAAAAAAAATGCACGAGCTACTTTGTATGAGCTACTGTACCACCTTTGTCCCACATGGGCAGCCCATTGAAATGAATGCCCTGAGCACATAGAGCAGTGGTTCTCAACCTTCCCAATGCTGCGACCCTTTAATACAATTCCTCATGTTGTGGTGACCCCAAACCATAAAATTATTTTCGTTGCTACTTCATAACTGTAATTGTGCTACTATTATGAATAGTAATGTAAATATCTGATATGCAGGATGTATTTTCATTGTTACAAATTGAACATAATTAAAGCATAGTGATTTATCACAAAAACAATATGTTACATGATTTTACAGTACATGATTTTACATTTACCCAGTAATTATAATTCATGAAGTGTCGTTTTACCTCCAATACTGCTGCTTTCAACACAGTAGCTGCTTTCAACACAGTAGCTGCTTTCAACACAGTAGCTGCTTTCAACTCAGTAGCTGCTTTCAACACAGCAGCTGCTTTCTACACAATAGCTGCTCTTTACACATGTGTGACTGGTCCACATAAGTACATTATGGCAGCAACCCTGTCACATACACCTGTATTTTTACGAGTGTATGTGATGGGGTTGGCGCGATGATGTCATCACGCTGGGTACTTGTATGTGGGCGTATCCGCATGTGGGTGGACCCGCCTGGAAGAGAAAGATAGAGGAGCGGTGTCTCGGTTCCTAAGACCATCGGAAATATGTGTTTTCCGATGGTCTTAGGCGACCCCTGTGAAAGGGTCGTTTGACCCCCAAAGGGGTCGTGACCTACAGATTGGGAACCGCTGATGTAGAGTGACAATGTGCAGAAACGTGTATTCACATCCGCCTATACCTACACTGAGCGTCATAGAGTGAATGCGGTCAAAAACTGTGGTGTCTATTTATATTTAGAATTTAAATTTTTTTGGTGAATGAAAAGTAATACTACATATTAACATCATTTACATATTTTTTTAGGGGCTTCCAAATTTCGATAAGTTCACCGCAGACCCCCAAAGGTACTCACCCAAGGTTGAGGACATGTGGCCTGGTATGGTTCAGCTTGGGCAGAATGCTCCCTTCTTTTGTGTGAAGTTCCCTTTGACATTCAGACCAGATCCTCATCAAGGGCAGGGGTCTGATATATGTTTTTAGGGGGATCCCCATGCAATTTTTTGTAAATCAGACCCTTATTAAGATTCTCTTGGTACAGATGAAGAGAATCTCTGGTCACTCTGTTTACAAAAATAATGCAGTGGCCTGAAGCTGGAAGATTTTACCCTCTTCATGAATAGGCAATTTTTTGTTATACCGGGCTGCGCTACTTAACTGGTAATTGTATGGTCATATAACACATTATAACTAATTTTATATAATTTTTTTCTTTTCTTTTTCTTTTGGTAGTAAAACTGGGTTTTTATTTTTTTTGCTGTAAATTTTGAAAAAAAAAAAAAAACAATACTATTTAATTTCTGATATAAAAAACATATCCAATAAAATAAAAAAAAAATCAAATGTCTTCATAAATTTTTGTCAAAATGTATTCTGCTACATGTCTTTCATAAAAAAATCCCAATAAGTGAATATTAATTGGTTTGCATGAAAATTATAGTGCCTACAAACTATTGTCTAAATACTGAAATTTTGATTGTTTTATTGTTTTTATGCTGCTAATGGTGGTGATCAGTGACTTATAACAGGTTTGTGGAGGGCAATCTGACACTAACTGACGCTGAGGGGAATTGACTAAGTGCCAATAACATGACTACTGACATTAAAGCAGAACTCCACCCAAAAGGGGACGTTCTGCTTTAAGCCTTTGTCCCTCGCTCCCCATTAAGGATTGGCACCTTTGGGGAGCGGGTACCCAAATTTGACAGGTAACTGCTCCCACTTCTGCTGCGATTGTCTAGGCGATCATAAGTGGAAGTCGTCCTCCCCCCTCCCTCCCCAGTCTTCTAGACCACATGACAGGTCCTAGAAGACTACGGGGCCATTCACAAAGTGCAGCGCTTCACACGCAGTGGGCACCCGGTTGTGAAGCCACAAGCTGTCACAGCCGGATGCCCACAGTAAATGCTGGCGCCAGGGAGAGAAAGACGGCCGGTGAAACCAGCGGTGGTGAGGACACCGCCGGAC